CCCGTTTATCTCGTGCGTGTGGCTGCAACCGAAAAAAGGCATCGCCCCCCCCCCTTTCCATCATGAAAACAAATTTTTATAAACTAAAAACTAAACATTCTAGAGGAATACCCAATATGTGGTTATTGAAGAGGCGAGAAAATCTTTTCTAGAGTCTCCAGTATAAAACGGGTATGCTCAGAGTTAGGACTTAGGCAAAAATAAATATCTGCAACTTCAGTGTTAATGAAAAGACATCAGGTCCAGACGCACATCCTCTCTGAAGTCACAGCTCAGCATGGAGATCCCTACAAAGAATGTGAGGTTTTTATACCTCTTCCTGATAGTTTTACAATAATCTGTAGTTTACAACAGCAATACATCTTTTTTTCCTTACTGACAAAACCAGCCTCAAATCACTAATACTTGTAGCATCAGCAATACTCTAAGCTGTAGAAAATAAAACGCACACACACCATAATTCATGACATTATGACACTGGTTACCTGGGTACGAGGGGTTATCCTTATTCTCCAGCTGATACTGTACCAGAAGCCTGAAAATACCCCTGAGGGTTTTGTGTTTTTTTGAAAAAGACAAAACATATTTAAATAAGACAAAGAACTTTCCATATTCAGCATACAACTACCATAGGAATACTAAAAGAAAGTAAGAGTCTTTAAAATCCATTGCGGTACAAACCAAATAAATAAAAAGCGGTCCCATTCAGTCCTGAAACAGATCCCTGCTCCATGCATCAGCCTACCTGTTCCTCTCTTCCAAACCTGTATTACTGAAAACCCGGCTTTTTCACCCAGTGGCCGTTATAAAAAGAGCTCTTTTCTAAGGGATGCTTTATCTTTTTGCAGTTACACTGAACGGGATATGCAAATAAACTTTTTTTTTTTAAGGAACCATGATGCATTTTTAAGGTTCTCTGTTCAAAAACAGAAGAGGCAGACAAGGTCTGTAGAAATGTGTATTAATATAATAAATAGGGGGGGGGGGGGGAACCCATATGCCAGGATTGGTTTGGTGTCTTCTCTGTGTCAATGACCTGAAGATCAGGCAGTGCTAATACTTGGGCACAAGGGACACATAACAAGGCCTTCGTTTCAGTAGCTTCAAGCCAGAGACTTGTTTTCCACATAAACAGAACAAAGTTTGAGTCCAGTGGCACCTTTAAGACCAACAAAGTTTAATTCTGGGTAAAAGCTTTCTGATGTCTGAAGAAGTGTGCATGCAGATAAAATCTTCTACCCAGATTTAAACTTTGTTGGTCTTAAAGGTGCCACTGGACTCAAACTTTGTTCTGTTGCTTCAGACCAACACGGCTGCCCATCTGAATTCAACATAAAACAGTTCATGAGAAAAAATAAACCCCACTCTCTGCGAATTACTGCAGATGTTCCCAGCTGCTGCCTGATTCCTTACCTTGCATTAGGAGTGAGACTGTGCAGGACGTGCGTGAGTGAGCTCAGAGCTAAAGACCCAGACTGCTTTATCAACATTGAGTTCTCATAGGATGTTTCTTCAACATAAGGGCTATAGGTAGTCGTTTCGTACCATAGCCAGTTATATAGGCTTTGTTTTGCCTGATCCCACACTACAAAAAAAAGACTACAATAAGCAAAGAGTATTGATTTATAAAACGTCGTTTAATGCCTAAGTTTTGGGGAGGTACGGGACAGTGTTTCCCACAAAATACTATACTAGCAGAATCTCTTTTAAATTAGGAGTTGAATTCTTTATCCTTCTTTCGAAATTCATGGCACCTGGAGTGGCATTACACTGCCTCACAAGGTGCCTGTTGGGCAGAAAAAGGAAGGCGATTGTAAGCTGCTTGGAGGCACATGAGGCCTGCTGGGTGACCTTGGGCCGATCACAGTTCTCCCAGAACTCTCTCAGCCCCACCTGCCTCACAAGGTGCCTGTTATGGCGAGGGGAAGGGAAGGAGATTGCAAGCCACTGAGACTCCTTAGGGTAGAGAAAAGGGGGGTATAAATCCTACTCTTCTTCTTCACACGGCAGGGCATTTTAAAACAGGCACAACCAGAAAAGGGCAGGGTATTCCCAACCATGTCACCAATAACCACTCCTCCTACCCTCTGAGTCAAAAAAGCTTTTGCTAGTCCACAGTGGAATGGCTACCACTACAGTCCCATTCAAAGGCAAAAACATCACTAGTACCAACCCAGCCTCAAAAGAATCAGAGAGGAGGACACATAAAACACAGGACTTACTAGTTTGGCCAACAACACTAGAAAAGTAAAAATTACTACTGATATCATTCATCTCTAAAGATAGAAAAGGGGACAGGGGAAGAATCCGCAAGGCCAGTGGACTCACTGAGTGGGGCATTGATGTGGTCAATCGTGGCGATGAGGTAGACGCTGGGAAGGGATGCCAGCTGTCCCAGGATCTGTTGGCTTCTGTCTCCTCTCAGCATCTGGCTGTCCAGGTTATGGATGAGCAGGTAGAGCTCCGAGGAAGGGTCTGGCCAAAGAGAAGAGGAGCAGCGACAGACAGTAAGCAAAACTAGGGTGCTGAGTGAGATTAAATGTAGTCCAAGGAAAAGCCAGTGCCAACCATCTAGTCGCGGCTGTGCCTCATCCCTCAAAGTCACACCAAAGGTTCTTGACGGCATTTCTCTGAATGTGCCTATCAGCTTTTCATTTGCGCATCCAGGATACAGGCCTGCTCCGTGACTAAACAGTCACGTATTCTTGATGTTCAAATGGAGGGAGGTGGACATTCTGTTTTAATCCATACTGTAATGTTTCCTTACAGCTACGATGCAGAGGCCTGTTCAATATTTTGTTGCGAGATCCTTAATCTGCTCAAAAAGATGGGGGTGGGGTGGGGGTGGGGGGGGATTTGGTTTACTAAACATTTAACTGTTGCAAAAAGCTGCTCTTTGCAAATAGAAGTATCTGATACCCAGCCAATTCCGCAGGGCCTGTAAGGCGAAGCTGTTCCGCCAAGCCTGTGGTTGGGGCAGCGGGTGGCTCACTATACTGGCCTCCCCTGCCCCCCCCCCCAACTGGCCTATGCTCTTTGTATTGTAGGCGGGGTGCCGGCCTTCCTGAGTTATACTCAGCTATATTCCTGAGGTCTAGGCTTTACTATCTTGCCATCATGTATGCTTTGTTGGGTTTAATTTTAACTTAAATTATATAAATGGTTTTTACGTCTTTGTGGGGCATTGCCCCCTGCCTTGAGCCCGCTTGTGAGGGAGGGTGGTATAAAAATCTCCTAAATAAATAAATAATCACCACCGTTCAGCTCTAGAAGCCCATATTTACATTAAAAATTGCTTCAAAATTAGTAACCATTGTATGAAATAAAAACACAGAATTTTAAACAATCATCCTTTTTCTGGTTCTTACTAGCACTGTGAAGAAAGTATTGGGTTTTGGTGAAATACTTCGTTTCAGCTGTACATTCAAAGGTTCATTTGTAACCAACGGTAACTGTCTGTATTCTGAGCATCTGTGTGCACAGGCGCCACACTGCACAGTATCTAAGCCAAAATCTATGCAAGATGCTGACCTTTCATTCTGAAAAACAGAAGTGTCTCATGGCTTATGAATGCATATGAGTGTCTTCACAGGAATATTATTAAAAGAATGATCCTTAGTATCTGGATTCTTTTACAAAATTCAAGTAGAAGAAAGGCTAATGAAAGGCTGGAAAACCCATCTTCTCCAGTGCATCTAAAGGACTCATCAAGAAGGGAACCGGCTCTACCTGTTCAGCCTTTCCACAGTAGCAAAGCAACAGCATGGAACCTCAAAGCTTCCAGGAAGAGAGCACTCTTTGACACCTGCGCAATAATATTATTATTTAAAACATCTATTAGCTGCCTCTCTTCGTTTATGGAGTTCCTTACGACTTGCAATATAGACAAAAAATAGAACACAGAAAGTACAAAATTTAAAATCACCATCTAGGACTGCTAGTAACTGAATGTGGTCTTATATGAATCCATCTTCAACTGCCTTCTGAAGATTAAAAGTGAGTGTGTCGGGTGCACCTCCCTGGGAAGGCTGTTCATAATCCTGGGGCTGCCACTGAAAAGGCCCTCTCAGATAGGCCCAGCAGATGAGCTCCTTTGATTGGTGGGACAGTGAGGAGGGCCTCTCCCTGTGATTCCTGGGTAGGAACACGTGGGAGAAGATGGTCCTTCAGACACCCTCGTGCCGAACCACGGAGGGCTTTAAAGGTCAAAAACAACACCGTGAATTGGGCTCGGGAGCAGATCGGTAGTCAGTGTCATTGCTATTATATCCGGGTAACATGCTCTCATAGCTGGCCCCAACTAGGAGTCTAGCTGCAGTGTTCTGCACTAGCTGCAGCTTCCAGACACTCTTCTACACTGGGGCAGCTTCCAGACACTCTTCTACACTGGGGCAGTAGGCATGTGTTCTTCTGCATCACTGCTAAGGAGTTGCACCAGCGTAAGCATGCTACACTGTGCATGGTTGGGGAGGGAAAGCAGGGGTGTAATGCTCTGCATTGCATCTAAGTGGCTGCAAGAGCAGGCCAACCTACAACGGACATTTTAACATCGTGCCACAGAGCTCTTGCACAGCAAGCTTCCATGACAACGCAGAAACTAGAGCAAGTGGAAAAGGCAGGCTGCCGATGTGCTTCATCATCCCTCCCTTTGTTGACAATCTTGTCTTTTTAAATGCAAGTTTGAAAATTCTGAGCAACTGACAGTGCGATCCTATGGAGACTAACTCCTGAGTAACTCTCCACACGGCAACACTGTGAGACTGGCAGCCTAATACTATGCCTCTCAAAACAACACAGCTGCATGCAAGATAGGTTCTAGATAGTTTACCAGCACCACTTTAACCTATACGCCAACATATTCCCAAACTATCACTCTTTTAACTCTATCCTTCCCGGATCCTCTCGCATGCAGAGTTACAATATCCAACAAAAATAAGGGTTTTTACCTTACTGCTTTAACTTATTTGGGAAATGTATGTACAGTGGCAACCAACCAACCAGGAGATTTCTCCAACCAACCAGATTTCTCCAGGCTTTTCTAGCTGACAGCCAGAGTCCAAAGTGCTCAGACATCTGCCCAATCACTTTACCTTCTTTAAATCTTTTCACGATCCAGTCCAACTGATCCTGGGGGCTGCGAAAAGTGCCTGTGTGATCCAGCACCTCCTCCGTGATGGAATTCAGAATCTAGCACAGAAATGCAGCAGGTCACATAAGAACATAAGAACATAAGAGACGCCAATGTTGGATCAGGCCAAAGGCCCATCCAGTCCAACACTCTGTGTCACACAGTGGCCAGAAATACCAGTGCCATCAGGAGGTCCAGGAGTGGGGCCAGGACATTAGAAGCCCTCCCACTGTTGACCCCCCCAAGCACCAAGAAGACAGAGCATCACTTGCCCCAGAGCCCCTAGCTATACCTTGTGGCTAATAGCCACTGATGGACCTCTGCTCCATATGCTTATCTAATTCCCTTTTGAAGCCGTCCATGCTTGTAGCCGCCACCACTTCCTGTGGCAGTGAATTCCATGTGTTAATCACTCTTTGGGTGAAGAAGGACTTCCTTTTATCCGTTCTAACCCGACCGCTCTGCAGTTTCATGGAGTGCCCACGAGTTCTTGTATTGTGAGAAAGGGAGAAAAGTACCTCTTTCTTTACCTGCTCTTTCCCATGCATAATCTTATAAACCTCGATCATGTCACCCCTCAGTCGTCTTTTCTCCAAGCTAAAGAGCCCTAAGCGCTTTAACCTTTCCTCATAGGGAAAGTGTTCCAACCCTTTTATCATTCGAGTTGCCCTTTTCTGCACTTTTTCCAAAGCTATAATATCCTTTTTAAGGTGTGGTGCCCAGAACTGCACACAGTATTCCAAATGAGGTCTCACCATTGATTTATATAGGGGCATTATTATATTGGCTGATCTGTTTTCAATACCCTTCCTAATAATCCCCAGCATAGCATTGGCCTTCTTTATTGCAGTCACACACTGTCTCGACATTTTCAGTGAGTTATCCACTACAACTCCAAGATCTCTCTCTTGCTCAGTCTCTGCCAGTTCAGACCCCATCAATGTGTATTTATATTTAGGATTTTTGGCTCCAATGTGCATCACCTTGCACTTGGCCACATTGAACCCCATTTGCCATGTTGACGCCCACTCGCCCATCCTTGACAGATCCCCTTGGAGTGCCTCACAATCCTCACTGGTTTTCACCACCCTGAACAACTTTGTATCATCCGCAAATTTAGCCACTTCACTGCTTACTCCCATCTCCAAATCATTAATGAACAAGTTAAAAAGCAGTGGACCAAGTACTGATCCCTGCGGTACCCCACTGCTTACCACCCTCCACTGAGAAAATTGCCCACCTACACTCACTCTCTGTTTTCTATGAACTAGCCAGTTTTTGATCCATAAAAGGACTTGTCCTTCTATCCCATGATTTTTGAGCTTACTTAGGAGCCTTTGATGAGGAACTTTATCAAAAGCTTTCTGGAAGTCAAGGTAAATAATATCTATTGGATCCCCCTTGTCCACATGTTTGTTCACCCCCTCAAAGAACACTAACAGGTTAGTGAGACAAGATCTTCCCTTACAGAAACCGTGCTGAGTCTGCCTCAATAGGTTTTGTTCATCTATGTGCCTACTAATTCTTTCCTTAATAATGGTTTCCACCAATTTACCCGGTATCGACGTCAGACTGACTGGCCTGTAATTTCCCGGATCTCCTCTGGAACCCTTTTTAAAGATGGGAGTGACATTAGCTACCTTCCAATCCTCAGGAATGGAGGCAGATTTTAAGGAAAGATTACATATCTTTGTCAGGAGATCTACAAGTTCACATTTGAGTTCTTTCAGAACTCTCGGATGTATGCCATCTGGGCCTGGTGATTTTTCAGTTTTTAAGTTGTCTATCAGTTTTAGGACCTCCTCTCTCATCACCTCAATCTGACTCAGGTCTTCCAACACCCCTCCTGAAATCAGTGGTTCTGGAGTGGGCAAGCACTTCTCATCTTCCACAGTGAAGACGGAGGCAAAAAATGCATTTAGCTTCTCAGCCATTTCCCTATCATCCTTCAATACTCCTTTTACCCCTTGGTCGTCCAAGGGCCCCACTGCCTCCCTGGCTGGTTTCCTGTTTCTAATGTATTTGAAGAAAGTTTTATTGTTGGTTTTTACGTTTTTTGCTATATGCTCCTCATATTCCCTTTTTGCCTGCCTGACCTCAGACTTGCATTTTATTTGCCATAGCCTGTGTTCCGTTTTATCAGCCTCACTGTGACTAGCTTTCCACTGCTTAAAGGAATTCTTTTTACTTTTTACAGCCTCCATTACTCTGTTTGTTAACCATGCAGGCTTTTTCCTATACCTGTTTGTGCCTTTCCTAACCTGCGGAATATATATTTTTTGAGCTTCTAGGATCGTAGTTTTAAATAGATCCCAAGCTTCCCCAATTGTTTTGACCCTTTCTACTTTTCCTTTCAGTTTCCTCCCCACGTGTCCCCTCATATCAGAGAAATTACCCCTTTTAAAGTTAAAAATGGTTGTGTGAGTCTTTTTGGCCAATTCTCTATTTGTACAAATGATGAACTCAACAACATTATGATCACTGTTTCCAAGTGGTGCAATCACTTTTACATCTCTCACCAGGTCTTGAGTGTTACTTAGGACCAAATCAAGGATCGCCTCTCCCCTGGTAGGTTCCATGACCATCTGCTCCATAGCACAGTCATTTAGAGTGTCTAGAAACTCAATCTCTTTTTCCCGGCTAGAACACATATTGACCCAATCAATGTGTGGGTAGTTAAAATCACCTATTATTACACAGTGTTTTTGTCTAGTTGCTATCTTTAAGGCATTCATCATTTTATAATCCTCCTCTATCTTTTGATCTGGTGGGCGATAACAAACTCCCAGTGTTAAGTTTCCTTTTGGCCCCCCTATTTCAACCCATAGAACTTCCAGAAGCGAATCCAATTCACTTAGCCTCTCAATCTTTCTAGACTTTATACCCTCTCTGACATACAGAGCTACCCCACCTCCAACCCTTCCCCCCCATCCTTCCGATATAATATATAACCGGGAATCACTGTGTCCCACTGATTTTCCTCATCCCACCAAGTTTCAGAAATACCCACAATGTCTATTTTTCCCTCCGACACCAAGCACTCCAACTCCCCGATTTTACCTCGGACACTTCTGGAAGGTCACCATCTTCCTTTGGGATAATTCTTTAGTGATGGCGCTAATAAAAGGCCTAGTCTGAAACTAAATTTCCAACTATCTCAGATTATACAAAATCTCTACAAAAAGACAATATGTAATAAAAAAGAGATGCATAAAATGCACAAAAAGCCCCTTCACATATGACTTTTGTAAAGCAAAGTACACCTTAATGCTCTGCTCCGTAAGTTACGATATACACTAGTGTAGGTTTCTCTGAAGCTTCAAATTGGAACTCTCTATGCTAGCTTGTTCTTCCCTAAAAGTGCAAGCAAGCGGTCACAACTGCAGCTGAAGTCAGCCTAGAGCACACACTACCTCTTGTGTTTTTGAGTTAAAGAGAAGAGAATGTATTCTACTTTGAACTGCGTGTTGAACTGAAAGGGAAAAGATCAAGATGGGTGGCTGTGTTAGTCTGTCTGTAGCAGAAGAAAAGAGCAAGAGTCCAGGAGCACCTTAAAAACTAAGAAAATTTGTGGCAGGGGAGGTGCTTTCGTGAGTCACTGCTCACTGCTGTATCTGAAGAAGTGAGCAGAGACTCAGGAAAGCTCATCCCCTGCCACAATTTTTGTTAGTCTTTCAGGTGCTCCTGGACTCTTGCTGTTCGCTACTGAAGAAGGGAGCCGTGACTCAGGAAAGCTCCTCCCCTGCCACAGATTTTGTTAGTCTTTCAGGTGTTCCTGGACTCTGGCTCTTTTCTACTGCGAATGGGAAAAGTTATCAATAGCGCTAAAGGTTTTTGCTTACTTCTCTCCATGGCCTTGATCCAACCAGCTTTTCTGCTGCTGAAATATGGGCAGAAAGGTCCCCTTTGACCATCAAAAAGGCTATGCTGGGGATCACAGGACCTGTACGTACAATAGCTGTGGGGGGTGGGTGGGAGGGGCGTAGCAAGGATGAGAGGAGCCATGGACGAGAGTGAGTGAATAATCTGGCCGTATCCAAACTCACCAAACATTCCCATTTCTGTTCTGCTTACCGATTTCACAGTGATGCTGGGGAAGAACCCATTCACCACAAGATGAACCGAATCCTGAAGAAGAGAGGTGCGAAAATTCTCCAAGAGGTTTTTCTTTGAACCTAGCCCATAAAGCACAATATTGAATCCCAAGCTGTAAGACAGAAAAACACTCAAGCTTATGAGGTAACTGAGAACCCCAAAGATGCTGCTGAAAACTGGAATACCAGTTATCTACTTATGCTGGCACTTCTGCTTTTCTCTTTTCTAAATACGTATTTTAATTGTATTACCTTCACATTAAAAAATTACTCAATTTTTTTTAAAGGACGTATATTTGAAATGTTGTTGTTGTTAGCCTTTCAGTCGTGTCCAACTATTGGCGATTCTATGGGCCAGCTCTCTCCATGTTTTCCAATCTTGTACTGTTCATTTATTCCGTCCATTTACTTCTCACTTGGGACTCAAAGCAGCCTAGAACATCATTCTCCTCTCCTCCATGTTATCCTCACAACAACCCTGTGAGGTAGGCCAGGTCAAAAGTTTGTGACAGGCCCAATGTCACCCAACAAGTTTCCGTGGTAATAGTGGGGATTCAAATCTGGATTGCTGAAGGTCCTCATCTGCCACTCCGTCCCCTACACCTCATTGGTTCTCCCGTTACACCACTGCCTGATCCTTTTCTGATCCTGTACGGGCAGAATGACACGTTTAGTATCGCGCACAAAGGATTCCTAGCCCCATGTGTGCACGTGTGTGTGAAGTGGTACGGGAAGGCACTTTTGCAAGGGAGACGGAGTAGACTCAAGAGGAGGGAACTTATCTCTTCCTCCACCCTCCCTCCTCACAGCTGCTCTTCTACCAGTTGGGATACAAAGGTGTCCGTGGGCTTCAGCCATTCCTCTCTCATCAGCCATTTCGACGAAGCCACATGAGTCTGCTGATGCCTTCCGACATGCCGTTTTGAAATCAGTGAGCTCAAACTTCAGTTACAGTTTAGCATTAGTTAATTACCATCATTTTTCTTTAAGCAGAATGCCCAAAGGGGGGGGGGTGTTCATTTCCCTGTGTTGATTAGTTTTTAAAAGTCTTCACATTTAAAACAGAAAACTGGCTAACAGGCTACACCACAGCACTGTGAAGAGCCTAGAAGTGCACCACACCAACCCTACATCATGGGTGCTTGTGGGGAGCACCTCAACTCACATGCTGCACCAGCAGTGCTGAAAGACTGTATATAAATTTCCTGGGCTTCCAGGTTGCTTCCCTTAGCCGGCTTGCAGTGGGTGCACTACACAGAACAGGGAGAGGAGAACCGACCCTCCCCACCAAAAAAAAAAAGGATTCCGGGGAGCATTTCAGGCTGTCTCAGGAGAGAGGAGCCAAGACAGTCATGCTCCACGGGCAAGTCCTCACGCCTCTGTGAACACGGTGCTGGAACCAACCCAGGATGCTGCTCAAGACTGTTTGAAACAATCCATTCCATCACATTTTACCTAACTTCCCATCCAAGGAGCTCGGGGCAGTATAACTTGGCTCTCAGCCCCTCCATGTTATCCTCACAGCAATCCTGAGAACCAGGTTTAGAATGAAACACAGTCACTGGCCTAGGCTCACTTACAGCACAAGCCTAAATACTCAGAAGCAAGTCCCCCTAAGTTCAATGGAGCTTACTCTTTAGGGGACAGGATTTAGGGACAGAAACTTAGTTAGTTTCATGGCAGACTAACAATTTGAACCAAGTCTCCTAGCCCTAGCCCAACATTCTGTGGCTGCGGTCACACGGAGCATTAGGCACGCTAGAGAGACGGAAGATAGGCAAATTTTCCGGGCGTGATCTCACCGCCACATCTGGGAAGCGTAGAGCTCCCGTGGCGAACCCAAGGCTTCCCGCCCAAGACGCGCGGTTAAAAACTAGTACCTCGGAGGTACTAGTTTCCGGTAACCGCGGGGCAAGGGCGGGCATCTGATCGCGTTTCCGGTGGTAGTTCCGGCGCCCACCCATGCCCCCTTGTATAAAGGTGTGTTTTTTTTCAACTGTCCATGGGATGCGCACAAGCACCCAACGGGGCATGCGCACACTTCGGTGTCCGGGGGAAAAAACACCCGTTTGCCACGCCACGCCGCTTCTTTGCCGCGGCACAGGATTGTGGTATGCTCGGCACCTCCCCCCTACCACAGGACCTCCACGGTACATCTGCTGGTGCAACCGCGCATTATTTTGCCCTGGGGCAAACAGCCACGCCTCCCCCCCTCCCTCGATATCCGGCCCATGTGACCAGGGCCTGTGTCTACTATAACAGTGCCTTCGCAAGCCATAGTGTTCATTCTTTTGTTAATGACACAGCGATACCTATGCCAGAAGGTACTTGTTTGTTTCAGGCCCAGGAGAATCACTGTGAAGGACCAACAGTTTTCCCCTCAGGCCAGCACCTTTACACAACACACATCTGTAGAATTTTAATTTAAAGTCTACAGCTGTTTACACTACCATCTGCCAGTCAGCAAACACGAAAAAGGAAATGTAAGCATCTATGCCAATGATCTAGTTATTTTCACAGCCTCAAAAGCTGTTTCAAAGAGAGCAATGCCTTTTCGTACATGGTACAGCAATACTCTGAAAACAGCAAAACATATTCTCATTTCCTCTACATTTCAAGGAGGAAGTGGATATGGCAAGTAGGTGTATACTCTAGGACAATGTACTTTTCTGTTACACAGACAATTACCACAACTGTCATCTTGAGAAGGGCTTGATATATGGCAACTTCTTTCCTGTTTAAGACCAAGAGTGGGAGACTTCTACCAGTCCAGGGGTCTACATTAAGGAAGCAGATCTCAACTTCCAGGACATACAAAAGAGGTCTCATATGCAGTTTAATTCCAAAGAGAGGACTATTTCCCTAGCTAACGTTTACAATGATTTAATTTCCAATTTCCACGTTTGCTGGTAGAAGACTACATACTGCAGATACCTACTGCAACTGTAACATCCATTTGTAAAAGAGGGATTCATGTTGCTTGTTTAACTCTTCACGTTCAGCAGCAAAAGCAATTGGCACTTTATTCAAGATGTTCTGCAGGGTCTCCTGTATCAGGAAGAGGGGAAAAGAGTCATTTGACAGGTTGGAGAACTGAAGGAAATTATTCCACACATGAAACGGGTTTGGTGACGAACAAACTGTTATTTCCAGATAGACCAGACAAGGTTATACAACAGGTCCCAGCACGCTTTTCAGAGATTAAATGAACGAAACTTCCCAATGTATCTGGGGCAGTGCCACCAGAAATACATTCCATTTTGCCAAGGTTGAAATCAGGGCAAAATAAGCCAAGCTCATTTATAGCTGGGAAATTAAAATACCAGAAATCTATGGTGTACTACCTACACAGATCTAATATATATTCATAGACTATGGCAAACTGTCCTATAATTCTTACCTTTGTTCCAAGGAAAATTCTGAAGCTATTTTAATTAGTTACGTAGAGTTTATTAGCAATTTATAAAGGAGGTTTTTAGGTCTATTTCTAAAGAATATATTCTAGAGGAAATAGCACAATATTGATCTCTGTTCAAAGTAATGAGGACATACTGTGTTCTAAACTGCTCTCAAGAGTGTCGATCACAAAATGATCAATGTTCATTTTTAATGGTTCCAGTTTTCTTGGTATTTGGTAACTGTTTTTCATGACATCAGATTGGTTTTCAGTGGCTGTTGACATACCGCCTTCCCAGACAATGCTGCACTGAAAGCAAATAAACTAAACCAAAAAGAGAGGCTGCAGTGGATTAACTCAGTAGCACTGTTCACCCATAATGCTAAACTATGAACTGGCATTATATGCACAAATACATGTTTGTATGCTGCCTCCCCTTGTGTGATTGGAGGTCACGAGCAACAGCCTCTTACAATGTCGTGATGTCCAACCCAGCACACAACGGCTTGCCTGCAAATACCACACACTGCAATTTTAGTTCACTTGAAATCCTTCTCGTTCTAGCTGGTGTCCACAAAGCAAGAAACTCTTTCATTGCTTTGGAATTATGTGAAAATGGGGGGAAAGGATTACAGAGTCTGGCACAGTAGCAGGATTGCCAACAACCTTGGGGGGGGGAGTCCTGCCCCCTTGAGGCTTAACAGAATGTTATTTACAGGGTGATGTTACTTAAACTCCATACCATTAAAAGCTTCACCTGCTTATTTCCACACATTAAGCCTTTATTTAAAGGGATGGATAGGACACATTTTTTCTCTCCAGGATGTTGGTGACCCTGCCCACAGGACGTGCTATATAAAAGCAACAACAACTTAGGCAAAGTCCCTTATCCCCCTCAGTTCCTTTTATTCCAAGAATTAATATAATTGTGGGAATTTATGAACTGGTAGAGTGGTTACTTCTGCGGCTGTAGAGCTTAGCCTTTTAGCCAAAACCCACATCGGCGTGTTTCCTCCCAGCCCCTCCCCACCCCAACACTATCACTGGCTTCATAACGCTCTAACCATGCTCGTGCCATTAAGGCAAAAGAGTGGCTGACACTGTAATGCCTGGTCCTAAGAACAGACTGACCAACTGCTAGCGGGTTCCTCCAACAAAGTCAGTACAAACACAGGATCCCCCTGACATTTACTGCACCTGATCCAGCTTTCCTCTCTGCAGCTTCTGAAGTGTTCGGTCAGAAGTTATAACTTTGGAGCTGCTGTGTGCTTCAAAATACTCTTCCACCAGATTGCTCTGAGGGGGAAAAAAAAGAAAACCCCAAAGATCATTAGGGGTACTCTCCTGACATGAAGCGGGGGAGGAAACTGATGTCTTGCTCAGCCTCAGCCGTCTACAACAATAGTTTTCTGAGGGTAAGGGTGGAAGGAAAAGGTGGGAAGAGGGAGAGAGAAAAGGCACAAGAAAGGAACCACGTTCTGGATGCAAAGAAGCATCATTTAAATTGATTGCTCAGACCCTTCAGCATTAAGAGTGCCTTTGTATCGTACAATGATACGCCTTCACCCTATTTTCACGTATGCAGTATCTTTGACCACGAAAAGAAAAAGACAGTCCAGTCTTTTCAGTCTAACGATGATTTGCAAGGCTCCAGGGCCTTTGTTTGGTTTTAAATACATGATGATAAAATCCAGCAACGACCTCAGTCCTTTTTATACCTCAGTCAGGAAGATGCCTTATAGGCTAAGGTCCTGATGCTTAAATTTGAGAGGAAACCCCTGATTTGACAAGCCCAAAGAAGTGATTACTTCTTTAAAAGGAGTCAATACTATAGACCTGTTTGCAAATGCAGACCTGTCTGGAGAGTCAAAGCTGGTTTATATTTAGTTGCCACTAAATACTTCCTCCTTGTCAGAGGCTAACTTGTTCTTGAATTAAATTTTTGAACATCTTCTTAAAAATGCTTGTTAACACTGATACTGTATTACCCAATGGCCACTGCATCTATACTCACGGAAATGCCTTTCTTCGGTTTCTTCCCTGCTGGCTGGTCGCTGGCTGAAATCATTGTTTGATTTGGCGTGTCCGGCTGAAGAGCTTCATCAACCGTTGCTTCACGATTGTCATCGCTGTCCTTCTCAGAATCCGAAGAGGAATAATCACTCTCACTGTCAGAGCACCTGTTTAAGGCTAAAAAGAAAGTTTGGCAAGAAGAAGGAATGAGTTTGCCTCCTTCCGGACCCTCTTCTTCTTTATGAACTGCGGAAGTTATGGATAAATTATCAGTTAGGACTGGTTTGTATGATATAATTAAATGAGCGTTGCTATTGTACAAAATATATTAATATCTGTCATTATAAACACAGTAATTAGTATATATGTTTATTCGGTTAATATGGTTTATTGATATGTTTTATCTGCTTTAGTAATTCCATTTTAAGATATTATTTTAAAATAATTTAAGAATTAATGTGGTTCAGTTAAGAGGAAAATAATATTCATGCTATGTTAAAAGGAAACATTTAATATTTGGAGATTGTTAAATCACTAGTTTCAACCTATCACAGTCTTTTAAATAAACAGGGTGTACAATGTATGGGTCTAACCCAGCCATGTACACTTGTTTGCGTGCCAGTCCCAAGCCCGGATAAATGGGAAGGGTTGGAGAAAGACCTGGCAACCTACTCTGGAAAAATCCACCAAGAAAATTGGAAAACGTGGAGAGAGCTGGCCCATGGAATTGCCAAGAGTTGAACACAACTGAATGGCTAACAACTACAACAATGTATGGGTCTACTGAAATACCTGAATATGCCGTATATTTGACATATGTCCCTTCTATATTATACATCATTTGTAGTTTTGAATGTCCTTGATCACTGTAAATATTCTAAAAAGAAATTTCAATTTTCCTATTTTATTTTTTCCATTCTGTACCCTCTTTTTTCAAACATAAAAAACATTTTTTTAAAAAAACTGCACACCGTGGACAGTGGATCTGTGCACACTGGATTGCGCTTTGTGCTTAAAACTAGACATACAAGATTATATTTAGTATAAGATTACATACAAGATTACATCTAGTATAGAACAAAGTCCTTTATTACTTCACAGACACACTTTCCCTAACAATCTCAACCCTACTGAAACTAAGCCTAAGAATATGCAACAGGATGCTACTTTAAGGCGCGCAGCTCGGTTTTTCCGTGTTTGATTAGAAAAACGAGCACAGTGACGACGGGACTCTGGCCGGTGAGACTCTCAGAGACAAAAAAATGCACAGGGTATGACGGTCGGGAGGAGCAAGTTTGCTGCCGCAACCCTTGCACCTATTGAAAAAAACCCACTTCCTCTCCATAAAAGAAAGCGAAGAAGAGGGAACGTTTGAGGGGTGGGAATAGCCCGAAGGCCTGAGGTAATCGGTAGACTCCCCCTCAACAGAAATAAATGTTGTTTTTTGCGGTTTTTTGTTTTAAAGTTTTTGAAGAACAAACAAATAAAAAGAGAAAAGATAGGAAAATTAAACTAAGGAAATAATTCCTAAGAGCTGAGGCGAATAGCCAAAAGCGAACCAATCTGACCGACGAAAAATAGGTCTACTCAACGCGGTGGTAAGAAAGGAACTGGCGGGATGTCCGCGCCCACCCCTCTGGGCATGTGCGGTGGGGTTCCTGCGCATGCCCAAGGGACTGGGCGCAAAAATCCGTTAAAAGAGCTTGCCACAGCACCGATTGATCCAGCGCGTGCGCACTAGATCTCATGGGTGTGAAGCACAGAGACCACGCCGAAGATCAGGAACGAATGCACATGCTCCCCTTGGTTATCTCAGCCTCATTCCCCTGCCTTTTGTTAGTTTCCTCCCGCACCTCAGAAGAGGAGCTCCCATCAAGCTCCTCAGGATCTGTCCTCCTCCTATGCCGGAAAGCACCGTTCTGTCCAGTAAAATACATGAACGGATAAAGTCCAGAAATCTGCTATAATGAATTAAAACCTAATCCCTGTCCAAATCATAGAAAGCAAGACGCCACATTTTAATTTGTAGTTCTGGTAAAGGTTATGTATTTCATATGCGCCTAGTTTGTTAACTAGTAAGTGGAAATGAATAAAAAGGTCTCACACAAGACAAAAAAAATCTCTCCATCAAAGCTGAAGCAATTTGAGTCTCAAAATAATATAGCCAAACACCAGTGTAATGAATTGAACACAATGATGTCAAGTGTACATTTTGGGGTTCATAACTCCATCTGACCCATCAAGAGAGATAACAGGAAACAGGCATCTTATCTTATCTTAAACTGTAAGAACTTCCTCTAGTCTAAGGAGAATTCTTCCAATGTTAAATGGCTCTTTCTCCAACAGAACCGCTTGGAGGAAGGCTCCAAATTTTGCCAAATCTATCATCTACTCCCAGAGTAAAAACTTTCAGAAATGTTATCAGGGTAGTCAGTCAGATTTTTACATCACTCAAATACAGGCCAGGAAAACTCAAAGAGTGTTTCCATCTGATCACTGTAAGTTATACTACGCCCACAAACATTACTAACAACACACACAAGGAGCCAGTGCGAGTTACACTGTTCACTCTAAGGTAGGAAATGCAAAACCTCACACAACACAATACTTCCCTTTTCTGTATTTTAGTTTTATCACAAAATCACTGAGATATGAGCATGTAGCCACACCATAAGTGAAGAAGCAGAATATATTAAAGAATTCTTAAGTTACAATATATTGCTACTGTTTATTGCAAATGCTTACCTGCTATTCTTTTCCTGAATCCGTACACTGTTTTTGACACCTCATTCTTTTTACCCTGTTAAAAGCAAATATGTTAAATTGTATCCCTAAACAAAGTTTCTTCTTGAACATTCTACTTTCTAATAAGATCATCAACTAAATAAAGAACTGAATCGGTTGGCTTGTTCTAGTTGCAAATTCCCATTATTTTACCTAGCCATTAATGAGGCTAATTTAAATTTCAATTTGTATTCGCAGCCATTATTACGTTTTGAAATGTATACTTTTTTCCTTGGCTGATTATCGCTTTGGCTGGGAATTCTGAGTATATTTGAATCTCTTACTAAAAAATGTAACAGATGGAAGCACTGAAGAAATAAAGAGAGAGTGCTAAAGGTATTAAACAGATTAAAGAGAAGGTAACAGCAAACTCTGATATTACAAAGACATTAAAGAATTAAGAACATAAGAACATAAGAGAAGCCAATGTTGAATCAGGTCAAAGGCCCATCCAGTCCAACACTCTGTCACACAGTGGCCAAAAATACCAGGTGCCATCAGGAGGTCCAGCAGTGGGGCCAGGACATTAGAAGCCCTCCCACTGTTGACCCCCCCCCCCAAGAAGACAGAGCATCACTTGCCCCAGAGTCCCTATCTATACCTTGTGGCTAATAGCCACTGATGGACCTCTGTTCCATATGCTTATCTAATTCCCCCTTGAAGCCGTCCATGCTTGTAGCCGCCACCACTTCCTGTGGCAGTGAATTCCATGTGTTAATCACTCTCTGGGTGAAGAAGTACTTCCTTTTATCCGTTCTAACCTGTCTGCTCAGCAATTTCATTGAGTGCCCACGAGTTCTTGTACTGAAATTAATTTTTATGAGGTTAACCAGAGCTGATTAATCTTTATGTAAGACTAGGAATAAGACCCATTGTGGAAATAAATACAACGAGCTCAAGAATGAGGCTCTCAGTGGGTGCCCCAGCCATGGGCATCAGTGTCAATTTGCTGTGGTGACCTCAGCAGGGTATAATGACACAGCAGCCACCATTTTCTCCAGGGGAACTGATCTCTGCCATCTGAAGAGCAGGTGTAATTCCGAGTGATCTCCAGCCCTCACCTGGAGATTGGCAACAATGGTTCCCCATGAAAGGTACAGTCTCCACAGTGGGGACCAAAGCAGCTTACATCATTTTCCTCCCCCCCTTTTGATCTGCACAACAACCCTGTGAGGTAGGTTAGGCTGAAAGTCTGTGAGTGGTCCGAAATCACCCACTCAGCTTCCACAGCAAGAGCCTAGGTCTCCCCCTGGAGAAAATAACTGCTTTGGAGGGTGGACTCCATGGCATTCTATTCAGCAGAGGCCTTTCCCCTCCCCAAACTCTGGCTTCCATAGACTCCACCACAAAATCTCCAGGAATTTTCCAACCTGGAGCTGACAAGCCTAGTCAGGACTGGTCCCAATGAGTTCCCCACAAAGGCCAAAGAAGGCCTGGAAAGGGCCTCCTGCCCCTGCCTTTTTACTGACAGAACCAAGCTTGGTTCCCTAGCAACAGCCACTGAGGGGAAAGTGAGCCACACAGCAGTTTTGGCAGTTTACTCAGACAGGGAATGGCCGGCAGTGGGCAGGGGAGAGGAGTGGACCCAGCACCCAGCCAATGGCACGTGAGTACTCTTGAGTGGCAGATGATGGGCCAATGGCTGATGGAGTGCACAGCACAGCCAATGGGAGAGCTGGAAAGTGCCAATACGCTGGGCTTTTATTTTTTTATGTATGTATGTATGTATGTATGTATGTATGTATGGGATGACAAAACAGGGAGGGAGCTGCGATAATAGCAGCAATTCTGAAAAAGTTTATAATGACAAGAAACCCCTCTTCGAGCTGGAAGAGAGTTTGTGTTGCTAGCACGTTTGGATTGCTGGCATCCCAGAGGGATCAGAACTGGAAAAATGAAGCCACTTTACTTAGACATTTGAACTCACAAAGAAATATTGTTCTGAAACAGTGAGCTCACTGGGTTCTTTTAAAAAAGACAGCCAACCAGGGTTTCAGTAACAGATTGTTATTTCAGGACTCCACTCGATCAAAGCAGTGGTCGATGCAAGACAGATTTCGAAAACGATTGGAAAATATTCATTATGGAAAATTTTATGATATGTTTTGGTCCTGCTGCATATATTTAATAGAAAGGCAATACCAAGAATCCCAGCAAAGAGAAAAATACAGATGGTTTTATATTATCAGAACATGTATTATTGGAACACAACGAACATTGGGTGGAGTCCAAAGGTGGGGGGAAGGCAGTTTTCACCCGTTCTTCCCTCCCACTGGAGACTCCACTTTGGCCCTGCACTGTTCTTGAGGGACACCTAATCCTCAGGAGCCAAACTGCAGGGGGCTCAGATGGCTGTGGGGTGGGTGGAGAACAGGGAATACCGTGGTGCCAGCTTGCTGGCAGTTGCTTTGCAGCTAATCCACTCACAATTTCTCAACCGATTATGTCGACTGATCCTAATCAGTTTCTTATAATATTTATTTATCAGAACATTCCCCCCCCACCTCTCCTCCTGGTTCAGCTAGGTCATTACTGCTATGGTCCATATTTTGAACCAATCTGAAATGGGTATCTGACAAAGTGAGCAGTGACTCACGAAAGCTCACACCCTCATCTTTAAGATGCCACTGGACTCTGGCTCTTTTCTGTTGAGACTATTGGTGAGTCAACTTTTTCCCTTAAGCTGTCATATAAAATTTTTTGCCACTGTAAAACAATTGAGTGTAAGATCTAGATCAGCTTTCTCAGCAAAATCTTTTAAATAATTCAACAAGACAAATTCTGAGTCACCAAGTAATTTACTGAGAAGTGTAATTTATCCTAAATAGCATGACAGTAAGCTTTGCCGCTTGATATCATTTATGATCTATTTGTCCCTCTTTCCTCATGACAGGCTACAATGACTACAAAATTTCTAACAAGCAAAAAAATTGCCACTCACCTCCACCTGGCCTTTGCTCGATGCGGGTGGCTCTATAAATTTAACGAAGAGAACATCATAAGTGACATCACACCTGCAAACAGCAGCTCAATTGTGTTTCTTTACCTAAAATGGTATCAGGAACCTACTGCCCTAATTTTAGCAAGCAGCCGGTTGTCAGTTACACTGTACAGCCACTTAGGGGCAACACACTGATCCCCATGTATTTTCTAGTTTTGTTGTTGTTCAGTCGTACAGTCGAGTCCGACTCTTCGCGACCCCATGGACCAGATCATGCCAGGTCTTCCTGTCTTCCGCCGTCCTCTGAAGTTTGCTCAATTTCATATTCATTGCATCTATGACACTGTCTAACCATCTCATCCTTTGCCGTCCCCGTCTTCTTTGACCTTCAATCTTTCCCAGCATCAGGGTCTTCTCCAGTGAGTGCTTCCTTCTCATTGGGTGGCCAAAGTATTTGAACTTCAACTTCAGTATCTGGCCTTCCAGGGAACAGTCAGGGTTGATTTCTTTTAGGATTGATTGATTTAATCTTCTTGCAGTCCAAGGGACTTTAGAAGAGTCTTCTCCAGCACCATAGTTCAAAAGAATCTATTCTTCAGTGCTCGGCCTTCCTTATAGTCCAACTCTCGCAGCCATACATGACTACTGGGAATACCATTGCTTTGACTTTTGTTGGCAGAGTGATGTCTCTACTTTTTATCATGCTGTTTAGGTTCGCCATCGCTTTCCTCCCAAGGAGCAGGTGTCTTTTAATTTCATGGCTGCTGTCACAGTCTGCGGTGATCTGGGATCCCAGGAACGTGAAGTCTGTCACTACTTCCACGACTTCCCCTTCTATTTGCCAAGGAGTGATGGGGCTGGATGCCATGATCTTATTTTTTTTGATGTTGAGCTTCAAGCCCACTTTTGCGCTCTCCTCTTTCACTCTGAGCAAGAGGCTCTTTAGATCCTCTTCACTTTCTGCCATTAGAGTGGTATCGTCTGCATATCTGAGGTTGTTGATCTTTTTCCCAGTGATCTTAATTCCCGCTTGTGATTCATCCCGCTTGTGATTCATTCATTCAGGCCAGCATTTTGCATGATGTACTCTGCATATATATTAAATAAGCAAGGTGACAATATACATCCTTGTCGTACTCCTTTTCCTATGCTAAACCAATCAGTTGTTCCATATCCGGTTCTGTCGCTTCTTGACCCTTATACAGGTTTCTCAAGAGACATGTGAGGTGGTCTGGTACTCCCATCTCTTTAAGGACCTGCCATAGTTTGTTGTGATCCACAAATCTATAGTACACAGCTATAATTTGGTACAAAAGGGAAAGGAAAAATGCACATTACAGTAGCTAAGCTCCTTAGAAACTATTAGGTATCACTTTAGCTACTTCTCTTTCGTATGAACATGTGAGTCTTCAGTTTTTCTCAACAGAGTGGCTCCTTATTTTGCGCTGAGACAATAAGGTGAGAGGATGACGATGATTTTAAGTTCTGATTGTCGACTGGATCACAGCATTTGGAAATGATCGTGGCCCATATATTTATTTAACTCATTTACACCCTGCCTCTCTCCCCAACGGGGAGCCCAAAGTGGCTCACATTGTTTTTCTCTCCTTCATTATATCCAAGACCTGTGAGAAGGGTTCGGCTGAGGGAGTATAATTGGCCCAAGGTCATTGAATAAGTTCCCTTGGCGCGAGTGGGGGTTCAAATCCAGGTGTCCCGGACACTAGTCCAACACTCTTAACCACTACACCACATTGACAAGCAAAGCAAAAGAATTAGACAAGAATTCGAAGCCCAGTCTTGCACATTCTAAACAAACTAAATTATGTAATTTCCTGGTGCAAAACCAAGAAGGAGAAAAGTAAGAAGAAGAGCAAGAAGAAGAGGAGGAGGAGGAGGAGATTGGATTTATACCCCGCCCTTCACTCGGAGTCTCCTCTCCCTTCCCCTCCCCACAACAGACACCTGGTGAGGCAGGTAGGGCCGAGAAAGCTCTGACAGAACTGTTTTCAAGAACAACTGTGCCAGAACTATGGCTTGCCCAAGGTCATCCAGCAGCTCCAAATGGAGGAGTGGGGAATCAAACCCAGTTCTCCCAGATTAGAGTCCGTGCACTTAACCACAACACCAAACTAACACAAAACAAGGGGATATTTTGAATGATTTTTGCAGTTCTGTTCCCACCTCTACACAGTCTGTACCTCTTCATTTTAACCAAGCCCAGAAGGGTGACAAGCACTGATTTACTGCTTCCAGAGAAATCTTCAGCTACTGATCTTAATCAAATTTCCTTGCTGGGTAGATCGAAGTTGTCTTAAGAGACAGATAAAACTTATTTTGATTTTGCAGGTACTCAGTATTTCTTAATCTGTGTAATAACCACAAAGTTATTTTAATGTGTATCAGAGATTAAATTAATTATCAGCGAGATCTCTGTCAAAAATCAGGTTCAAATGAAAAGTGCATTGTAGCCTCCACATCAAATGATTTGCCTTCAATTACACTGAAATTTTGATGACATCCTTGTCAAGGCAAAATTGGTAAGGGAAAGCTGTGTTTAAGTATATAATTTTGCCTTCTGTGTTGGGTTTGAGGTTCTAGGGTAGTTAACTCAACATTTAGTAAAGGTATAAAAGCCCTAGAGAGAAAAGCCAGTTTAAACGAGACTCTTAATTCAAAACCGGAGCCTAGTTTTATTTCTGACTACACAAAATAAGGATACTGAAGAGTGTCTGCTGTACTGCACTGTGTGCTTGGGCCAGGGGGGTTAATGAAACAGAATTAAGATGAAATGAAACCCAAAAGGCAGGATTTGGGTTTTTTTGTTTTGTTTTTAAGAAACCAAGTTCTAGGCTCTCCTGATTTAAAATGAGGCCATTGTTCAGCAAAAGTGTTTTGTAATTTCATCTTTTAATATATTAGTCTTTTTTCAACAGAACTTACTCTTGGTGCTTTTAGGAGAGCTTTCTCTCTTCTCAGCTTTCTTCGATATGACATGTTTCACGTTCTTCCCTGACTTGTTAGCTAGTTCTGAGGCTTTGAACAAAAAGAACTGCCAGATTAAAGACAATGCACACAAATCAACAATACAGTGTAAAAAAAACCCTGATAACAAACAAGGTTGAAGAACTACGTTATTCAGCACCCATGACCATTTACAGCAGCAAAGGCAAAACCAAAAACAGAGACAAATATAACAGCTTGGATCCCTTGCAATTTCCACCTATTCCCACTCCTTGCTGTGGCATCCCCAAGCCTACCAAGTGCACGTTGGTTCAGGAGAGTCCCCAGCTCTCAGCAGAGGATTTTTCAGGGCATGCTGTGGAAAAGGGATAGGCAGGGTATATATATCTATATGCCCAGGAACTCCTTCTGTTTGTGGGAGTTAGAATCTAGTCCAAGGCAAACAGCATAAGAACATATGAAGTGCCCCGCTGGATCAGACCAACAGTCCACCTAGTCCAGCATCCTGTCTCAAACAGTGGCCAACCAGTTCCTCTAAAGGGCCAGCAACAGGGCATAGAGGCTGAGGACTTCCTAAGAACATAAGAAGAGCGCTGCTGGATCAGACCAGTGGTCCATCTAGTCCAGCATCCTGTCTCAAACAGTGGCCAACCAGTTCCTCTAAAGGGCCAGCAACAGTGCATAGAGCCTGAGGACTTCCTAAGAACAGCCCTGCTGGATCAGTCCAATAGTCCATCTAGTCCAGCATCCTGTCTCACAGTGGCCAACCAGTTCCTCTGGAGGGCCAACAACAGGCATAGAGGCCGAGGCTATCCCTTGATGTTGCCTCCTGGCTCTGGAATTTAGAGGCTTAGTGTCTCTGAATGTGGAGGTTCCCCTCAGTCACTATGGCTAGTAACCATTGATAGCATTATTCTCCACGAATCTATCTAATCCCCCCTTAAAGCTGTTTATTCCGGTGGCCATCACTACATGATACAAATACATAGAGATTAAGACAACATAACAATGTGACTACCCATACATTTAAGCCTCAATCGGGAGAACTCAAAAGATGAAGCAGCACTGCACGGGGCTTTAAGTGTTCAGAATTTGAATACCAGCACCCACCATGCTGCAACACAAGTTCTTTTGGAATTCCCACCAAATTTTAGCAGGAATTTGCCACGAGGTGCCAAAAGGCTGTCCATAATGAGACCTGCTATGCATGCAAAAGGTTCCAGGTTCAAACCTTGGCATCTTCAGTAAAAAAAACAACCAGGTACTAAGTGATGTGAAAGACCTCAGCCTTAGGCCCTAGAGGGCCACTTTGTCAAAGCAGACAATACCGACGATAGACCAAAAGTCTGACTCAGCTTCACTGGCCCCATAAAGTTAGTCATATAGTTTTCTATACTCTGCCCTAAATGATACTCAGAGTCCAATATTTTGGCATGCAACAGCACCCAAACACACTGAACTTACAGAATCAAATAAAATGGCCATTGGGAGTTCTTAGAAATCTCACATGTAGCATCAAGACTGGGATGAAAAAAATAATTTGCTTAGTGTAACCAACTTACCCATCTCTGCCATCTTTTTGGAGTTCTTTGGAGTTCTGAACGCGAAGACATTGCTGCCACCTGCAACAGAACCATTTTTCAAAGACCCTTAGAAAAGGAGACAGAAATGTCCTGACCCGGATAGCCCAGACAAGCCCCCTCTCGTCAGATCTCAGATGCTAAGCAGGGCCAACCCTGGCAAGTATTTGGATGGGACACCCCCATAGAATACCAGGGCCAGGAGGCAGAGGCAGCCCATCAAAAACATCTAAACATCCTCCATGCCCTAGTAGGAGTCACCAGAGATCACCATGACTTCCAGGCATGGGCAGGCACAGGTGCGTGCATGCGTACACAGAGAGACAAATGCAAAAATACCACCCAAAAAAAAAAAGAGGCAGAAACAAAGCAATAACAAGGGGTTTCTTTATGTCTTTTGGTGAGGGTAGGTGGGAGCCACTTATAACACTTCTTGGCCAAAGACTTACATATTATGAAACATGCAAATGTTTTTCGAATGAACCAAGCCCTACAAAAATTTCTGGGCTGCCATGTTAGACCATTATTACTTAGCCGACTCAAATGCGACACTTCTTTCAGAAATACCTTTGATGCCTGTCCCAAGAACAGACACGTAGTCCTGCTGCTCAAAAGCATCCTGGGTCTCCTCACTGGAGTTGCCTTCTGTTTCCTTCACCCATCTTTTCACATCAATTACAGGTGGAACTTTCTTCTTCTGAACTTTAGGACCTAGAAGTGCAATAAGAAGACTCGAAGTCAAAGAAATGGTATCATCCATTCTGCTATTTCTCCTCAGAAAAGCATACACACTTCTATTTCTCTCTCTCTGCATGTATGTTCAACTGCTTTTTAGGTACTGACGTATTCACGCCAATTACGATCACGCTAGGTTTAGTTCCAAAAATTCCAATATGAACACCAGGACAGTGCCACAAGATCTAATGTCTAGAAAATTAACTTTCACCGGTTTGTTTAAGGAAGACCACCAAGGCTATTTTGGGGAGGAAGAAACACTATGAGAAGTTTTCAATTCTCAAGGTTTGCTAATGGCATGGCAACAGAACTAACAGGTGGCACCTTTCAAACACTTGCTTATCTGATCCACCCCCAAAAAGGCAGGCACTGCAAGGAAACTTCAAGGCATCGGGTTTGTTCAACCCTGCTCCCCCCCCTTCCCCTCTCCCTGCCAAAATTTCAAGCCCCCAGATTTGTTGAGCCCTATTTCATCCCTCCTTATCTCTAACCATCCCATTCCCACCACAACTTTTTCATCCTCCCATTGCCTTTAGCACTCCTTCAAGCTGGTGAGGCAAACAGTGTGGCACAGGAATGAAGGACAAAAGGAGAAAAAGAGGGGAATTTAAGAACTTTTCTTTAGGGCCCTAAAGAAGCCAGGCTAGCGGTGACAAGGGCCAGGGCCTTCTCTGTGGCAGCCCCGCACTGGTGGAATGAGCTCCCGGAGGACGTCAGGGCCCTGTGGGACCTTTTGCAGTTCCACAGGGCCTGTAAAATGAAGCTCTTCCACCAGGCTTTTAGTTAAGGAGCCGCCGGTAACATCGTGGCCCTGGCTCTAACATCAGCACCAACACCAGCACTAAAGTAATACCTGATTGTCTGGCAAGAAACCTGGAATATGACGATCATTATATCCGGATGACGAAAGACTGCCATTGTTTATTGTTTACTGTACTGCTAGCACTTTGCACTTTGTTGTGTTTTTAACTGTTTTATCTGTTTTAATATTTGTACAATGTATTTTTATATATGACTGTAAGCCGCCCTGAGCCTGCCTTTGCGGGGAGGGCGGGATATAAAATAAATAACTTGAATATCAAAGAAAAAATAGAAAAGAAAAACACTTGAATGGGGCAGAGGAGGACAGCAGGGAAGCGAGAAGACGGTGCCAGGAAACACAGCGGCAGGTGCCCTGGCACCCACAGGGACCGTGCTGAGGATTGCTGTAATGCTTTCTGCCTTAGTGAAGCACTGTCCTGAAAACCATGCATTTGCAGTTTTGAGATTTCCACGTGCTACAGCTGGCTGTCCCGAAGATCAACGTATCATTATCAGGAATACTTTGAACAAAAACACAATCAACTGGAATTGGCACTTTAAAGAAACAGAACAATGACTGGCAATAGGGGTCTATTTTGGAACAAAATAATAAACCGGAGTGCGATGCTTTCACTTTGAGCGAGTGGGGCTTTTTGTGTTATCCCAGAGGTCATGTATCAGAGACAGGAAAAGCATCACACAACTGTGCTTCTAGAAAGCGTGTATTTTTTAAGGCACCTAAGGACATCCAAAGCTTACTGAGGATGTTTTTGAAAAAGCCCCAACTCAGAACTCATTTAATATTAACAAGGAAGCCCTTTACAGCCGAGTGAGCCATACCAGCATTCTCGGAAATGTGCTGCAGAACGTCTTCATCTGCCACAAATTTGACTTCTAGGACCCGATTCTTCCTTTTGTCTGGCTTACTCATAGCAAGATGTCTGCAACCAAAAACAAGTGAGATTACTATTAAAACACAAGTACCTGTGAGAACACCTGCTTCTGTGAGGACCAAGACTAGCTGTCTAAGATTTGCCACAAAAGCCCTGTTCAAGATTCCATCCACATTCAAAGACACCAAACCCCTGAATCCCAGAGTGAGGAGGCAACATCAGGGGAAGACCTCGGCCTCCGTGCCCTGTGCTGGACCTGCAGAGAAGCATGTTGGCCACTGCATGAGACATGGTGCTAGACTAGATAAACCACTGGTATGATCCAGCAGGGCTCTTCTTATGTTATGTTTCAGTAAACATATTTACCAGTTAGGCACCAAGAATCTAAAAACTGCACCGTAGGAACTAAACTCCACTTAATAGGACTTAATAACTTAGGGTTGCCAGGTGCCACTGGCTGGGAACGGGGGAGTAAGGTTGCCGGCTCAAGGCTGGGAAACTTCTGGAGATTTGGGGGTGGAGCCTGGGCAGGAGAGGGACCCCAGTGGGGTACAATGCCAGAGAGTCCACCCTCCGAAGCATCCATTTCCTCCAGAGGAACTGATCTCCGTAGTCTGGAGGAGAGCTGGAATTCCAGGTTGTAGGGTTGCCAGGTCCCCCCCCCCCAATCATCTGCAGGGGGATAAGGGGGTAGGGGTACGAGATCCAGGCTGGGAAACTCCTGAAGATTTGGGGATGACGCCTGGGAAGGACAGGGACCTCAATGGGGCACAATGGCATACAGTCCACCGTCCGAAGCATCCATTTTCTCCAAGGGAACTGATCTCTGCAGTCTGGAGCTGAGGTATAATTCCAGGGGGTAGGGCTGCTAAGTCCCCCCCCCCCCCCCCCCCCCCCCAGCCACCATCAGGGGATTAAAGGGTAGGGCTACCAGAGCCAGGTTAGGAAACTCCTTAACATTTAGGGATGGAGCCTGGAGAGGACAGGGACCTCAGTGGGGGCAGAATGTCACAGAGTCCACCCTACAAAGCATCCCTTTACTCCAGGGGAACCGCACTTTGTAGTCTGGAGCAGTGTTCCCTCTAAGCTGAGTGAGCGTGAGCTAGCTCACCCATTTCTGTCTTAGCTCAGGAAGGGATGGCCCCAGAGCAAGCTAATTTATGCAGTAGCCAAGTGGCTCACTCACCCCTTTAATGCCAGTAGTTCACAAAGCAGAATTTTTGCTCACAAGACTCCAAAGCTTAGAGGGAGCATCGGTCTGAAGATGAGGTGTCATTACCCAGGATAGGGTTACCAGGTCCCCTCTGGACACCAACAGGGGATAACGGGGCAGGGGCAATCCCTGGGGGATGGCTGCCTAAGAACAAAGTTTGAGTCCGGTGGCACCTCCAAGACCAACGAAGTTTGATTCTGTGGCCGAAGCTTTCGTGTGCAGGGGCACACTTCCCTCAGATACCCACCAGAATCTAAGAAAGCGTGCCTAAAAGTGGCTCGATCCCAAGGTTGGGATTCATTCATCCCTCGTCCCACATTTACTAGGACCTAAACTCAGAAGGGGAGTTGCAGTGGCTGAAGTAGTTAAGACGCTGAACTGCAGGCTGTGGAAGGTCAGTAGTTCAGCAGTTCGAGATCTGAGTGTGCCGCATGATGGAGTGAGCTCCCCTCTCTAGTTCCAGCTCCTGCCAACCTAGCAGTTCGAAAGCAAGAAATTGCAAGTAGATAAATAGGGACCACTTCGGTGGGAAGGTCACAGCTTTCCGTGCGCCTTGGTGTTTAGTCATGCCGGCCACATGACCACGGAAACGTCTTCTGACAGCGCTGGCTCTTCAGCTTGGAAACGGAGAGGAGCACCGCAACCCTAGAGTCGGATTCGACTGGCTTTCGAGCAAGGGAAACTTTTACCTTTTTAAACTCAGAAGGGCTGGTGCTGGTGGAAACCTATTTCGGGGCAGTCTGCAGCTCTACCTCGGACTAATAAAATACCCGCATGAGACTTTCCCTTTTCCTCCCTCCCTCCTCTTGAATACACGAAACGCCCTTCAGGTATTCACCCTCCGCACGGCGGGTCGCTAAACACCCCCATTTCCTGCAGGCGAGGGGGAAACGGGCCTGAAAAAAAGACCGGTTTGGGGAAGGGGGAACGAAGCCGAAACCTGCCCAAAAAACCCGCCCTCGCCCCCCGCCGCCGACTTCCCCAGACCGACAAAAGCCCCGCCCCGCGCGGGAAGGGGGAGGGCGGAGGCGCCCCCCCAGCCCATGAGCCCCGCCCTCCCCGCCCTCGCGGCCACCGTTCCCCCAACGGCCGGCAAAACGGACCCACTCACGCGGCGCAGCGAAGGGCCGCTCTCTTTCCCGCGCAGGCGGCGGCTGAAGGCCCCAACGTGGCTCCCCGCCCTCCGGCTTGCGCCTCTACGTCATGGGGACGGGGCGGGGCCGGCGGCGAATCCGTCCGCGTCTTCCAGTCGGCATTCAGAGCGGGAGGCGAATGACCAGTTCTCTCCAGCCAATGGCAAGGCGAGCCTGTAGTCCCGCCTCCCGCGCCTCAGGGCTTATTTTGTTTCCTAAGCGGAGCGCTCAGAGGGAGAAAGTAGCTCGAGGTGGTGGGGGCTGTCTTGGTGGGCTGTCTGCTGCAGCAGAAAAGAACAGGCGTCGAGGAGCACGTTAAAGACGAACGAAATGTATGGCAGGAGATGCGCTGTAGCTGAAGAAGTGAGCAGTGACTCAGGAAAGTTCCTCCCCGGCCACAACTTTTGTTAGTCTTTCAAGTAGGGTTGCCAAGTCTGGGTTGGGAAATACCTGGAGACTTTGGGGGTGGGGCCAGGAGAGGGTGGGGTTTGGGGAGGGGCCTCAGCATGGTACAGTGCCATAGAGTCCACCCTTCAAAGCAGCCATTTTCTCCAGGGAAGCTGATCTCTGTCAGCTGGAGATCAGTTGTAAAAGCGGGAGATCCCCAGGCCCCACCTGGAGGTTGGCAACCCTACTTTCAAGTGTTCCCGGACTCTGGCTCTTTTCTACTGTAGCAACAGAGCGGGGGAGAAAGGGTCTTTCCTGTTCTTAGGTAGATCCAGGTGTGCGGCCCTATTGATCTGAAGCAACAGAACAAAGTTCCAGTCCAGTGGCACCTTTAAGGCCAACACAGTTTAATTCTAAGTCTATAAGCTTTTGTGTGCATGCACACACACTAAACAGTCCGCTGGTGCACTTTCCAACTGGATTTTGCCGGTTCACACAGTAAAATCCAATTGAAAAGTGCACTGAAAGTGGATTATTTAGTGTGTGTGTGAGACTGCAGCCATGATGTCTTCAGATACAATGAAGTGGAAGTTGCCAGACTGTACATATAGGTAAAGGGTGAGCAGCAAATTAGCATACAACATAATGAAGATGTTTAAATGATTCAAGGGCCAAATTGGAATAACAAGCTTCCTTTATATGATCACTATTTGTTTGGGTTCAATTCCAGGGGGAAACATGGTGAAGGAAATAATTACGTCTGAGGGTCTCAGTTAATTACTGCCATCATTCCACAGTTTAAAAGGGTACATCTGCCTATCAGTCTCAGATTCTGATATATTTATTTCCTTCATTAATTCCTCAGAATTAAACCCAAATGGTGACCATATAAACTAAGATTATTCCAGTTAGGTCCTTGCATCTGTTAAACACCTTTTATATGCTGCATGCTAATTTGCTGCTCACCCTCTCTATGTATATGGACCGGCAGCTTCCATTTCATTGTATTTGAGGAAGTGTGCTCACGAAAGCGAATACCTTGAATAAAACTTCATTGGTCTTAAAGGTGCCACTGGACACTGTTTTGTCTAAACCCCATCATTCTCAACACTGGGGGCCCAAAACAGCTTACATTGTTCTCCATTTTATCCTCAGAACAACCCTGTGAGGTAGACTAGGCTGCGAGTGTGTGACTGGCCCAAAGTCAGCCAGCAAACTTGAGGACAGAACAGGTATTCAAACTGGGGTCTCCCAGATCCTAGTCCAGCACTAACCATTACACCACACTACCTTTAAAAAAGAGTTTGTTCAGGAAAACACTTACATTATTGCTACTTCCCCCCCTCCCCACAAGCGATAAGTAAACACAGGGGTCATTTCGTAGAAAAAGAGGTGCAGGAGCTCATTAACATAACTAATTAGCATCACTTATTTGCATATGCCGCAACACCCATTGCTTAGGCTCCACTGGACTGTTTTGGATTCCTAGCTATGCAGATTTGTCCTCGCAGAGGAGGGAGAGCTTGTACCTGAATAAAACTTGGTCTTAAAGGTGCCACTGGACTGTTTTGGAGGGGGGGAGGCTCTGCAACTTACCTGGCTGCTTCTTGCTCTGACTAAGGGCTGCTGGGGTCAGTGGGTGGGGCTTGTTGCATGTGCCCAGCCCCTGGGCTCTTTACTGCCGGAGCTCTGCTCCTGTGCACTCCTGCAGGAAATGACCCCTGAGTAAACAGATGGGAATCCGAAGATGTAAAAGATAAATTGAGTTTCCCTTGCCGAACCCTGAAATTTAGCAGGACACCCTCTTTAAAAGAAAGTGCTGCTCTTATCTTTCACCAAGAGATGGTAGTGTTTACTAGGAATTATGGAAATATACCTAACTATATAGATCAAACTGGGTAGTCTGTCTGTAGCAGTAGAAAAGAGCCAGAGTCCAGGAGCACCCGAAAGACTGACAAAATCTGGGGCAGGGGAGGAGCTTTCCTGAGTCACGGCTCCCTTCTTCAGATATCATACCCTGCTACAAATTTTGTTAAACTTTAAGGTGCTACTGAACTTTTGGTCTTTCCTATACCTAAATACAGTTCCAGACTGTGTGAAAGTCATCCTTTTAAGAAGCAACACACAAATAGTAAGAGTCCCTTGCGCCACTAGGAAGCTAACTTTCTTACTCTTTCAGTGGAAGGGGGCAAAAACATTATAAGATGTATTCTGGGGACTCCTGTAGCAAGCCTGTTACCATTTCCACTTTGAATTATAACTTTTACTGTGGAACTGCAACAATCACAAATGTTGTTATAATCAATACATTTTATTTGCATCACTCAGCTTTATGATGAAGAAACATGCCAAAATTGTTACAGTAAATCTAACAAGTATCAAGAATGTACTTTATTTACTCCCCCCCTTTCATAAAGATACATCTGAATGTGTGGATGACTGTGAATTTAGAATGACCCCCAGCCTCTCCTCTCGGCCCCCACGCCTTCAGCGAGGTGTTAGCCTAACTGCTTTATATACAGCAGAGGCGTTATGAAATATATTTTTCAGTGGTGCTGACCAATGTATACAGGATGCAAGTTACCCTCGGAGGAAGTCCGGTTACAAATGGAGACGAGGCTAATATATGTTCAAAGCGATTGGTTCCTTTTATTTCCTAAGTCTAATTCACATACATACGAAAAACAGATTCTCACACAAACGCATACAAGATCCTCAGTGTTACAGAAATAGCAAATAGTTACTTTTACACTAAATGAATGGGGAAAGGGAATAGCAAATACTTATCTTTTTTATTATTATTAACATTTAAAATACAATCAATAGCTATGAGTCAAAACAGCAGCAAAAATAAAATTGGGAGGGGGACACATTCACGATATCTGGGGAGTTTCCTCAATACAAGTGATAAACTTGTGGATGAGCAGGAGCGTTCAGCATTGAAGCAAATGTGACAGCCTCAGTTGATGTAGAAATACTCTTAATTGGTTCAGTGGATGCAGCCACTTATCACCCCATGTTGTCAATAGATTGCACCATCAACCAAACAGTAGCCCTTCATATTTTGGTTTTCTTATTTGTTCCCAGTCGAATTTGTCTATGTTCATTTTCTTCTAATACAGGGTACCATTTATCCATGGGGTTAAGCTGGTGATACTCAACATGTGTAGTATTTGTCCAGGATGAGATTTTCTCTTGTAGGAAAAAATCCCAGACTTTGTGCAACCATTGTTGCATAGTTGGGATGGAATCTGCTTTCCATTTACTTGCTAACAATACTTTAGCAGCTATTAACAGAACATTGATTAGTTTTTTCTTAATTTCAGGTACACCATCTGCAGGCCAAAGGTGGAGCAAAATCAATGCCGGATCGTACAATAAGTTATAACCTGTTAGAGCTTGGATGTTTTGTATGATGTTTTTCCAATACTGAGCAACAAGCGGACACTCCCACCATACGTGTATGTATGATGCTTTCTGACCACATCGCTTCCAACACAGTGGTGAAGTATTGGTGTATATATGCGCCAATTTTGCAGGTGTTAGATACCATCTGTGTAGTACTTTCATTGCTGATTCCTGGATATTAA